TAATCTATCTCTCCAGCCCCTAATATGCCACTTTTCACTAACCAAAGCAAACCACACAGCCACATGAAATTTTAAAGGAATGAGCTGTTCAAACATATCAGATACACAAAGCAGAGAAAAATGGAAAGTGTCTAATCTGAACTGGTTACTTTAGGCTGGTTATTTATAAATACTCTTTTTATGGTGGCATCCAGCATGATGACATGTGCCTTTAATCCCAGCACTCAGGAGGCAGAAACAGGAGGATGTCTGTGAGTTCAAGGCCAGACTGGTCTACATAGTGAGTTCCAGGACAGCCAGGGCTACATAGTGAGAGACCCTGTCTTAAAAAAACAAAAACCAGACAAAACATTCCTCTCATCACCTCCATCCAGAGCCCTCTAAATAGACTTTCCAAACTAGGCATGGTGGTGCATGTCCTTAATCCCAGCATTTGTGAGGCAGAGGCCAGCCTGGTCTACAAAATGAGTTCTGGGATAGCCAAGGCTACACAGAGAAACGCTGTCTTGAAAAACCTAAATTAATTAATTAATTAAATATAATTTTTAAAAAGACAACAATAAAAATTAAAAGAAAAAGAAAAAAAGAATAGGCTTTCCAACCTGGCAGTAGTGGTGGTTCACACCCTTAATCCCTTTAATCACTCAGGAAGCAGAGGCAGGCAGATCTCTGTAGGTTTGAAGCCAGCCTGGTCTACAGAGTGAGTTCCAGGACAGCCAGGGCTACACACAGAAACCCTGTCTCAAAACAAAACAACAGGCTTTCCAAAGCACATAAATTTATGCTGCACATGTCACCTAACTCCTATACAACAGTACTAGAACCTAACACTGTCTCAGGATAAAAATACCAACAGCTAAAAGATCCTCCCCCAACATCCCATACAGCTGCCCAGATCCTTTCCAGCCTCACCTACTACTCTAGTCATACAGGCTTTTTCCTCCCTCCTGAATATTCGTACTTACCCTCTACCAAGTTGACACCCCAGACCACTTTTAGCTCTGCTCCAAATCAACCCATGAGGAAGTTTTCTTGATACCATCAGTATAACCTCCCTAGTGGACATACCTAGATCTCTCCTTCAAGAGTTGCTTTTTTTGTTCTGGGAACTCTGAATACACATAAAATGGCAGAGCAGGTAGAATCTGCTCATACTATCATCCATATAAGCCAGCTCTGATCTAACCACACACCCACCCTGTCTCCTGTTAAAAGTGTAAAATAAATCTGATTGCAAATCATTGTTAGTAAATGTTTGTATACATGTTTAAGACGTAGAGATTCTTGTGTTGCTTATAACACCACTATCAAAGATGTTTTTAACATTTTTTTCTTAGTAACAAATCTAGACATTGTTCCAAATTCTTTTTATTTAAATTAGTAAGAAGAGAATGAACCCAGGGACTCTAGCTCTATTACTGAGCTATATCCTCAGCACTCAGTACTCTAATGTCTAATTTCCTCAAATGTGATAAATGATATTAACCATTTCTTTATTTGACCAGATACAGATGCAATACGCCCTACACATCGTCAGTGTAATTCCAACTGCTTATCATCTACAGTCCTCTCCTGTCTTTAATTGTGGAAGAAAACAGGTTGCTAGTCTTGAAGTTTCCTGTGTCCTTACTTCTGTCAATGGCAATCCTGTGGCATAGTTTAAAATGTTCCTCTCTTCAGTAGTTTTATCACCTGTTAAATGTGGATATTTCATCAAATTTGCTGTTGTTTTTTTTTTTCTTCCAAGACTATCCCACATATTTTCAAAAACAAAATTTTTGTCTTTTTTTCTTCCTGCTTTGTTCTCTCACAGGTCACTAAACTTCATAGGATAAAGGACAAGGGTTCTAGCTTCTTCCTGTCATAGGGCTAATCTCAGTTATTTCTTCAATAAAGAAAAAAATATTAGACAGAAGGCCAGGGAGATAGCTCAACTGGTAGTAGAGGGCTTATACAGCATTCAGCATAGCATGCTGGAAGCCTGGGGCTCAATCTCTAGGACCACATAAAGTGGGTATGGTGGTATATGCCTCTAATCCTAGCATTTGAAAGCTGAAGGCAAGAGGATTAGAAGTTCAAAAAAATAGTAATTACTATTATTATTATTATTATTATTATTATTATTATTATTATTGTGTTTATATATGATGTGTGTTTATAACTGGCACAGCAAACATATCACATCAATTGTGGCAGAGGACAACTTTTGGAAGTCAGGTCACTAATTCCATTGCAGGTAAGAGGATCAACTAAGGCCATCATACTTGTGCACAAGTATTTTTACCCAATGAGCCATCTCTCTGGCCCAAGGATGTGAAGTTCAAAGTTATCCTCAGCTACAGAATGAGTTCAAAGCCAGCCTTGACTATATGAGACCCTGTCTGAGGGAGGGAGGGAGAGAGGGAAGGAGGGAGGGAATGAATCTATCAATCAAACAGGCAGGCAGGCAAATAAGGGGAAAAAACCCAGCAGGTAAAAGCACATGCCAAGCAAACCTAACAAAGAGTTCCATCTTTGGAAACACAAAAAGCTGTGTACAGGGGGGCAGGTTTGGTGGTGCATACCTTTAATCCCAGGCAGGCAGATCTCTTTGAGTTTGAGGCTAGCCTGGTCTACATAATGAGTTCCAGGCCAGCAAGGGTTACACAGTGAGATCCTGTTTTGTTTTTTTAAAGCTAGATACAGAGGCACACATCTATAATCCTAGCACTCTGACACGCATGAGAGAAGGCAGCAAAGGAGACCTCACCTCAAGATAGGGGAAAATTAATCTCTACATGAATACCCGCTCTCATACACAAGAATCACACATACAATAATAATAGTAATAATAATAATAAAATAAAATAGAAATAATAAGGAAAGAATGGCAGGAGTCAGGTATGGTGCACATGCTTGCAGTTCTAACACCTGGAAATCTGAGACAGGAAGATCAATCACCACAGTTGAAAGTTAGCCTGTTATACATACCAAGTTCCAAACCAGCCAGAGCTATATAGCAAGACTCTCTCAAAAACTAAAAATGAGTAAATCAATTATATATGTGTGTGTATAGATACAGAGAGAGAGAGAGAGAGAGAGAGAGAGAGAGAGAGAGAG